TAGACTAGCACTAAAATAAGTTTGTGTCTCTAAAGTCTGACTTACCCAGAGATGAGATCAGAGCCCACGTTACCTGAAAGAGAAATATCCAACCTGTCATTCAGGAAGAAGCCAACTGAAGGTTAACGTATATCTCTATCAACCATCCTGAAATGTAATGAGAGCTCTAACTCACCTGTGGATTACTCCATCTGAGTCCTATGTGATCATCATACACACACTAAATTGACTATTCCCATAAAATCAGGGGTAGGCTTGTGATGTTGTAGATTCTTTTGTGGGCCTGCTGCAGCCTGCTCCAGCTTGCTTGGAAGATGAATTCTGATGATTAATTTAGGTGTTCAAAATGATGAGCTTTGTGATTTTCTGCCCAGGCTCCAGCTGCTCTGCTGCGGGATGAGGATGCCCTGTAATTCCTATGTGATGGATGCAATCCCATGCTGGGTAGCTGAGCTGGCATTAGGTGCCTTTATGACCAAATGGGGCCTCAGACAACATGCTGAGTTGAAAAGCTTATATAAATTCTCTGTACTGCTTTATGCAGCATTGTGCACATTTCTTGTGTTCCTTTGCATCTATTTAGCTGAATAAGGCAAAACATGTTTTGATGTAGTTTCAAAGACCCTGCAATATTTATACCTGTGCTTACCTTTATCCACTATTGACCAACTGTACTATTCAAAGGAATAAAAACAAGAATATTCCAGGGTGGGTTTTTTTGTTTGCTTGTTTTGTTTTGTTTCTTGTTTTTTCTAGATTTAGATCCTCATGCTTGTGTCCTGTTGGGGTGTGCTGCCTCTAGGAGAGAGGCATAAGTGTTTGAGCTGGAATATCCCTCAAAGTGAATTTTTTCTACTCATCAGTTTCAAATTTTGGATTTAGTTTCTGCCCTTCCAAAATAGAGATGACATCATCTAATAATGCTTAGAAGATTGGTTACATAATATGAGGGATTTAAAAATTACTAAAAGTTATAGATATTACTATTACTAGTTAAGCTAGAATTCATGATGCTTAATTTGCTTTACAGTTAGCATTTAAACAGAAATATTCTCATTTTGAGAATTTGGCTATGAAAAACAATAGCTTTACTGAAAATAGGTAAGCTACAGTAACATGTGGAGAAAAAAGCTAAACAAATATTCAGATGAACGTGCTTTGAATGCTGTTAGATACAGCCCAGCAGTGCAAACTTGTGTTGCTTGCAAAAAGATAGTTTATGTGGTTAGTACACATGCAAGTTGAAAATTGTCATTTAATGATAATTCTTATCATCTCATCAAGGTTGGTCATGCTCTTCTGAGTATCTTCAATTAACAAAACTGGCCTTTTCAGATTCTGAGACTGGGAATTAATTACACTCAGTTTTTGAGGATGTCTTCTTTGTTATTGGCAGCTGGATAGGAGGGAATGTGTGATTACTCAAGTGAAAATCAATCTGACTATTAATTGTCAGATTGCAGAAATAATATGCAGTTTTCAAATAAAGAATATTTTCTAAAATGAAGAAATTTTATCTAAACTGTCACAGTCCAGGTCAGCAGCTGAGATTTTGTTAAACTCAGTGGGTCCAGGATGTAATGTTTGTGGTTTCCAGGGCAAATATGATCAATAACAAAGTCAGAACAGATTAGCAGCATAGGGTTTACATGTTTGAGGAGCCTTTATTTGATCCTATAACTAAGCTAAAAATTAATATTTTCTTGTTAGAAATAGAGATTTTTTTAAAATTTTCTCTTTGGAAATAATAATGCTAGGTATATTGCTGTAGTGCCTCGTGGGCTTTATGAATGTATGGCATTCACAAAGGTTTTAATTATCATAATGAGCTGAATTCTCTGACTGAGCTGAGCTGCAGCCCTCCTATCTTTTTGTGCTCCAGATCAGTGCATACTAAACAGCTTTGCTTCTATCACTTTGGCTACTGGTGCTATGGTTGCAGTCAAATGTTAATTTAGCTGCTTTAATGAGGAACTGCCATACTACAGACTCACCATGTCAGTTACTGGCAATAGACCTGACAGGGGTAGGTTACATCAGATAGAAGGCTGATCCACCTAAGGCTAACCCTACAAAAACCCTGTGGATTGGGCTGGAAAAGTGTGTGGAGAGAGCTCACTCTGGTGTAATATAACCATTAGATCTCATCTGAGGTGGGGACAAGAACTTATGGACATGGAGAAACTGAGTGTGAGACTAGCCTGTGATTCTATTCAGTGGCAGCCAAATGCTGCCCTTGTGCTGTCTTGGCCGTAATTTCCAAATGATTGATAAGACTCTGTGGTTGCATTAAACCCTTGTCCATGTATAACACATTATGTCATGATATATCAGATGGTCCCAGACTCTGGGGGTTGCTGCCTAAATGGTTTTACAGTTATGAACTGGGAAAAGTATGGCAAGACCCAAAGGACTTTGGCCATGTTAATTGTTGTTGCTGACTTCAGGTTTCTGCATTATTTTTCCTTCAAAAAAGCACTGCTTCTAATAAATATGTATCACCTGATACCACAATGGACTATTAACAATAAGAGTGTGCTTGAAAGAGAAGTAGGAGAAACATTCTGTGGGATGACCTAGAAAACCTCTGTGCAAATCATTACTGCAACAGGGGTTGTGGCATAGAAGTTGTATCAACTGTTATAATTTTCCAAGTACAGTTTGCTCTGAAGTTAACTCTACAGCAATTCGGATGTTCAAATCCTTGGGATGTTTGGAAAACTAATGACTGAAAAATCAAGCATGCACTTGCTGTACATAAAGGCACAATCAAAGCCGTGTGAAGACACGCATGCGTTTTTTAAGGCAAATCACAAAGCACCAGTCCAACTTTGCTCAACATGGAGATTAGACCCAGGGCATTTCAAGTGTGGAACAGGAATCTGCAACACAAGTCATGCTGCTTTCCACTCTGTGGATTTGTTTGTGGCACAGATACAGGGATGATAGCTGCCTCTTTCTGAAGGAGGGAAGACAGAGATTCTCTGTATGAAAATAACTGTGGAGTACTTGCATCTCATTTAGGTGGTGAATGATTCAACTTCCCTCTATCAACTAAACCCTTGGTGAAATTCCACTTGGAAAGGATGGGGAGAAATGCTATGGCAGGATGAACAGATGTCATCAGAAAAGTTGTTGCAGAAAAGACAAACTGTAGGGAAGAAGAACAGCAAAGTGGTTGCTCATGCTTCATGAGCCTTTGCCATAGAAAAAAACAAAACACACTCTTTCCCTTGGACTGATAACAGTTTCAAAGCTGCAGTCATATTCACTCAAAAAATCACATAAGAATGCAGTACAGAAAGGCCTTTTTTCCCCTCTCTGTGAGTGGAAAATTACTCCTGTTATATCTGTGTCTCACAAATGTTAATGCAAAAATAAATGATGGCCAGAAGTCACGTGGATCCTTTGATAAGCAAGACCTATCCGTATTGTAATATAATTTTGTTCCAGATTATGCTTCTGGCAAGAACCACCAAATATATTACAAAGGAAAGTGGTTGATTTGGCATATTTTTGGAATCTGTGGTTGAGGTATAAACTGGATTTTGACAGTGTGAATTTGTATTTGTGGTCTTACACTGTAAAATTTAGGCAAGCATTACCACTTTGACAGATGTGTGCAGATCTATAGACACAAACCATACAAGATGTATGTCATATGCTTTTCAAATCCCTTTCTTCTGTGTCAACCATTCAGACTCTGGGCACAATTTCGTTATTAAATGTTTGAGTTTTGTTGAGTCTAATTCCTTCTCATGGTCAATCTTTATAAGATTCACTCTGCATTATCATTATGAATACTTGTAAAGGAAACTGGTGTATTGAACATATTTGATAGCAGGTATCACCTTCTAGAGGGTTGCAGCATAAAATGTTAACATCACTGCCTACATCAAAATGTGTTTAAATTTTTCTTATGTAACTAAATATTTTTAAAATAAATAATTCTTATTGCTTGTTTACATGATGTAAAGCATTACACATCCATTTTCAGAACAAGAGCAACTTGCTGATTGAACAGGAATCTTAAAATATAAAACCTTGGATTCTTGACATATTGTCTTCAATGACATGAAACTTGAGTGGAACAGAAAAGAAGGGTGAGGAAACATCCCGTTGCTTCAACAGGAAACATTTGCACGGACAGTTTCTGAGTGAATATTCTGATTTTATTTCTTTAGTGATTTCCTGTAAAATTCAAAGGGTTTTTTGGCATGCCCAGTTTGACATCCTTCTTGAACAGGAACACATGTTTTTTCGTCATTCTCCAAGGCCTCAATGGTACAGGGAAAAAAATAATCAAAAAGGATTGAAATTTCTGAGGAGATTCTGGAGTCTGATTTCAAAGTGTTAATCAGTCTGTCTGAATTTACACAGGATCAGATATCATCCAGGTCAGCCTGAAAGTGATGGTTGCTGTGTTTACACATATTTTCTGTGCCTAAGAGTTAAATCCTCTTAGGAAACCTTTAAAATACTATTAAATGTTATTCCATAAAACAGTGCCAGATTTCACTTTTGCCTTACATAGATAAAATTGCTTGTATGAACACAGAGTGAATGGAAACATGCTGTCTGTTTTGAATACCATGAAGGAGCATTTGCTGTAATTCCTGACTACACAGGGAGCTGGTATCTCTTGGCAGTATAATAATGTATACTGACAGTTTGTTTTCTGTTGAAAAATGAATGGGCTACAATTTTAGCCCTTAAGCTTGTTGGAGATGTTTGCAAGCATTTGAAGACAGTACTTCTTTTTCTTTGAAAAAAGACTTTGTGGTTAATTTATTTAAAATTTTGAAAAATTTCTATTAATTTTTCATTCACTTCAGCTCTGCAAAATGAATGACAAAAGCATCTTCCTGAGTGGAAATGTGTTGGAAAACCATCCCAACAGCTTTAACAGCTTTGAGTCCAGAGCACATTACGCATATTTTACCCGTCCCTGGTTTCATACGTGTTGGACTTCACATTGATGCAATTTTGCTTCTTTTCAGAGCTGAAACATGAGATCTATGTTTGGAGGCTGACAGCTCAGCGCATCAACCCAGCCAGCAGAGAGGAGACTGCTGTGAAATGCCTCTTGATGCAGAAGGTGCTGACTCTGGAGATGCTCCTGAGGAAGAAGCTGAGGACTTTTCACAGGTAAGCAAGGACCAGCGGGTTCAACCTCCCATTTCAGGGATCTTCACTGGAACAAGACCCGCATTCCTAGCTCTGTCTTGATGAGATGGATGCCTGGGCAGATAGGAACAGCCACTCTCAACCTCAGTAAAACACAAACTATTTTAGGAGAAAACTGATGTGTAAGGCCTGGAAAATATATTTGTCAATATGACTCAAAATTAAAAGCCTAGAAATTTCAGGCAGCTTTCGGTTTAAAAAATCACAAATATATAACTACACTTTTCTTTACAGTTGTGGCTTCAGCACAGTAAGATGCTGGAGTTTCTTTCTTTTTTACTGAAAATTTAAAATTCTCTTCAGTGAATAGGTGAGTTTGAAAAACATTTCACCAGTGAATTGCTGTGTTTTACAATTATTTCATAATCAAAATTTCAGTGTGAACCCCTGAGTGCAGACATATTTTTATGTATAGAAAAGAAGTTTATATACTATAACTAAAAGAATAATGACCTTGTTTTGTTTAGATTCTAGTAAAAGCAGACGTTGTGCCATGGAATTTGATGACTGAGAATAGCAGTCGTAAATATTTTGGATGTTAATTGCCTAAAGTGAAATGATTTTAATAACCTTGAATAATTAATTTTAATAACCTTGTTAAAGAATTTGAGCAAGAAAATGTAAATATTTCTTGAACTATTCCAATAATAGGATTGTTTACATAATTTTGCTGATATTGTGTATTTTGAATTGAGTGAGAGTATTAATGCTTCAAGACAAATAAGGCTGTTAAAATTGCCTCTTTTTCAAAAGATTTCAAGATTCTCAGAGTTTATGATATTCCAAAGAGGACCCTACTGACTTACAAATAAAAACTGTATATTTAATCTTGAAAATCAGGGTTCCTCTAGCACAGCACATTTACAGCAATGTAGAAATTCATTAGCATTAACAGCAGAGCTCCTGAACTGCAAAGCCCAAGGCTTTTTGCTGGAGGCCTGACTGCATCGATAACGCTGTGAAGTTATTTGGATCTTAAAAACTTCATTATAAAATGCAAATGTGAAACATGTGTGTTCTGACTTGCTGATGTTAGCACACGACCCTTGTTTTATCACAGTGGGACACACACATCAGCTCCTGAAACTGTTAAGGGAGCTACACATTGCAGACAGCCAGATCCGATACTGAGGTCTGTGCCCTTGAGTCCCTTCCCAGCCTGTGGCTTTCTTCATGAACAGAAGGGTTTGGGCATTAGTGGAGCTTGTTACAGAAGTGGAGTCTTAAGTGAATGCTCATGGGAATTTTGCTGCTGGATGTAAGAAGGCCAAGACTCCTTTGTGGTATGAGTTACTCCACACAGGGAAAGAGGTGATCTATATGTGATGAGAGGGATTTATTCCAACACTTTTGGCAGAGCTCTGATTTCACTCTGGAAAAAAGTAGGTGTCATTTTCTTTCAGACAAATTTCACAAGAAGATAAAAACTGGGAAACAAATATCCAGGAACTTCAGAAAAAAGTAAGTAGATGGCTTTTTTTTTGTTTTGTTTTTTCAGTATTCAGATAAATGAAGCTATGCCCTTATAGAGACGTAGTGTTTTAAATCTAATGGAAATTTATTAACTCTCCTGATAGCTGAAAAATTAGCAGCTAGGGTGGTTGGCTTCTTGGTCAGACAAGGTTACTGAACCACATGGTGAAGTTTTGTTAGGTTTTTTTACTTTTGTTCCTTAGAAAACTATAACTTGAAGAATGAAGTAATGGTTCAGCAGTGTTTTCTTAAATGTTTAATCCATAGCCAGAAAGGCTCAGGAGATGTCAATAAATTGTTTGTAGCCATGATGAATGATAATAGAGTACACTCCTCCCAATGTAGCCAATGCTGACTCTGATTAAATGCATTTTGGTGGCACTACTGCTATTGTTATTCAAGTAGGGATAAACCACTTGATAAATCCTGTTCTCTTAGTTGTGCACGCACTAGCACTGCTTAAGTCTTTATGCTGAAACTGGGAAGATGGAAGCTGTAGTGGGATTAATGTCTCCTAAATTTAATTATCTAGGTGTCACAATCTCTCTACCTCACTGGCATCACTAACGAATCAGGCCTGTGTCTGAGAGCTCAAGTCCTTGATTGGACTCCTTGGGGTGCAAGTCCTTGACTGGGAGAACGCTGTCCTAGGTGTCACACTAAACCAGAGCAAACCCAAAAGATTTTATTTACATCCCTTTCAAGGCATTGCATAAGAGACAAACTTTTTAAAGAACAGAGACTTTCTTCTATTTTAGCAGAGCTTTAAACTACGTGATACAAGAGACGGACTTGGTCTGGGAGAAAGTGATTATCTGGAGTAGTAGTGAAAGCAGAGACACGATGGAAAGCACTGGGTGTGAGTGCTGAGGGCAGAAGAGTTTGGCACCGGGCAGCAGGAGCTGGGCATGGAGGTGTAAAAACTCTGTAGTGATGAAGGGCTTGGCAATTACATGAGAGTTGTACAGGAGGTGTGAAAGATTTGACCTCTAGAGTAGTTTATAGGTTTTCAAAGCACACCTGAAAAAAGAAGGGTGATTTTTTTCCCAGACCACAAAACTGCAGAGTTTCCCAGACCACAAAACCGCTCAGAATTCCCTCTTTGGTAGGAGTTGCATTTCAACCCTACTTCACCCTCTGGACTGAAATTGTGGAGGGGGTGCCTGAATACAGCTGAATGTATGCAGCAGGTGCTAGATACTTTTATCTCTTAAAGCCTGTTGGACCACATATTCATGTTTTTTTTACAGGTATGCATAAGATGCACACCTGTAAAAACTATTCAGGTAGTTCTGTCTTTTATGCTGAAGAGAAATATATAATACAGGAACAGCAGTTTGCACTTCACACATGCTTTTCTGAACTCTATGCATAATACATAGCTTGTTCTTTAATATGATTTCTAATTTTATTTTCCTGTCTATCTCCAGCACAGAATAACAGACAAAATTCTTCTCATCAAATGTCTGACAGTGCTGGGATGTGTTATTCTTATGTTTTTTCTCAACTCATTTGTTCCAGGCATCTACCTAGATCTTGGTAAGTTTCATAGTTTTGTTCTAAGTAAAATATGCAACCTCCTTGAAAAAAAAAGCCAGCCATATCTTTCTGAGTCTCGATCTTTTCAGAAAGCCATTTTCCATGTGTTCCTGTCCTCACAATTCTATCAGGCTGAGCAGCAATTTCTCTGGGAAGAGAAGAGCAAGTTTTAAAAATTCAGTCACGTCCCAGTTACTCCAGGAGGAGTAACAGAGAGTGCTCATGACTTCATTTTCTGGATTTCCAATACTAATGAGCTGGCTAAACATTACAGAATGAGCAAATTTGACCTTGGCATCTTTTGCACTGTTTGAGTGAATGACCACGACGCATCAGGGAGATCAGAAAATAATCACTCCATGGGAGAACAAAGAAGCAGTTTGGCATCATTTCTTAAGTACAGAAAGCTCTTTGTATAATTTACAGTCTCCATTACTTTATCACCGTAATAATTAATTTCCAAAAATAAAAACTAGAGGACACTGTATATGGGTGAAATAAAAGTAGCTCTGTGTGTGCTTTGTATATACAGATCTATATGTGGAGGTTTTTATACAGATAGTTGTATATCTCTATGAGAAAAAGCTCCACATAACCTGAAAACAGAACCAAATCAAATCTCACATTTAACTTAAAGGCAGTGATAAAACCTACCTATGTATTGACCAATAAAAAATGAAAAATTTCTTTTGGCTGCTGAGCTCTTCAAGACGATGGAATTTCAAATATATTTTTTTCATGCAATCTGAATTTGCACACTATGTACTTCTATCTCAGTGGCTGAAGGATGGAGCAGTCTTGAAGAGGAATAGCTCATAATGAATAACTCAATAATCATATACACAGATATTACATTGACACTTATTTTCACTATGCAAAATATAGAGCCAGTTATAGCTCTACAGTGGTGATCAGGTTGTAAGCAAGATCTTCCATATCTGCTACTGACAGACTACTTGCCATGCAAATGGGCAATTTCAGCCCATGAAGACTACTGTCAAGAAATTAAAAGGTAAACTGCTGTATTATAACAGAAAAATGTGCTACATTAATAAGGTCTGGGAAAATGCAGAAGCTGAAAATATTTGAATGCATTTGAAGTCATGGTGGCTGAAAACATAAGAAAGACCTTCATACTGACAATTTAAGAAATCAATTTACACTCTTACTTTTTTGTCTCAGATAAGTGGCACTGAACCATGTAGAACTTCTTGAATTAAGTGGAACATGTCTAAATGTTTTTGAAAAGCCAGACAATCATTAAAGACTAAACAGCACTAAGTTGTGTATGCTGCTGCTAAGAAATTTTTTTTCAAAACTTTAAAGAGTTGGATTCAATGCTAGAGGAAACATAGTAACTATTGATCTTTCTTGTTTGCCCCGCTTTATGCCAGTAAAATAAATGAAAACAAATGGAATGTTTGGCAGTCTAGGTTTCTGTTATTCAGTGGCTGAATAACAACTGTGAAAGTAAATAAGGGCTGTATGTGCTCTGTATAATTTCTCCCAGTTCTCCATTCATGGCAAACCTGTCAGATTAATGAATAAATGTTACTAAAGCATACACATAATTTCTACTGAAAAGTAATTGAACCTGTAAACTTCTACTGATAAGTTTACAGGTCCCATAATTTACAGGTTCTCATTTTTATTTCCTGAATTTCACTATCTTGATGATAGCTGTCACTTATTTATCATTACTGAAGTAGTGCTGCTCTGAGGCCCTGTGGATTTTAGTCTTCCAAAGCATGGGAATATATTTCCTAATGTACACTATCTTGTACTCTGTTGGCTTGGGTAAATTTGATCAATATGTTTTTCTCATAAAAGTGAAAGTAAATTGCAGTTCAGTGTTTAATTTTCTACCAGAGTAAGGGTTTATACAGAGGTTGATGTGTTAGAAATCTAATAAATTTAAATTGCAGTTGCTAGAGAGAATTAGAAAGATTTTTAAATTCTCTATCAGTCCCAAGCCTTGATACAATTTTTTCATTATGAACACGGAATCATTAATATAATTTGAAGGTACTGACATTTTAATTTAAATAATAAAATTTCCATACTTAGCTGCTTTTTGAAATGCAGAACTCCTTGCTATTCAGTTTTCTTGTGCCTATTCATTAATTTACTTTGTGTAATTCTATGAAATATCTATGTTAATAAAAGATTAGTGTTGAAACTTAAAAATACCCAGATTCTAAAAACTGTAAAACTCCTACACTACTTTCATTTGGCCTCATGAGATTTTATTTTATTGATAAAGCATTATTAAAACATCTAAGAAAAGATGACGAAGGATGAAATTAAAGCCCCTTTGAGGGGGGGCTACTGTTTTGACTTTATCTTTTAGGCGGGCATGCCTAGAGCTTTGGACTATATTAATATGTCCAAAAAAGATTTTAAAAGTAATATAAAAAGTAAGATTTTGTCAAAATTTTAAGCTAGGTTTTATGAAGGGAGCACTCAAAGTGACTGTGTCAGAAAAAATACCAAAATCAATTTATAGCTTAATTCATTCTTCTTCTGTGGGGAAGCTGCTTTATCTTTGATTTGATTTTAGTCATTTCAATGAGTTGCTGAGCTGCTGTGAACTTTGTGCAGTTCCTTTTAGTATCTGTGAAGAGGGACCCATTAACTCTGTGGCCCTGCTTTTGCCTGCCTCTCTGCGCTTTCTGCATGCAATGCAGGCAGCCTGCTCTTTCAGACCCCCTCACTCTTGCTCTCTTCCACCTCTGGACACCTCTTTCTCAGGGCCAGGCTCACTAGTTTCTGAGACATGAGAATGTCTTCTTCTCCTTTAAAAGGTTGCAACAAACTGTTGCTTTCATATTCAAGGGACAAGGTGAAAACCCAAGAGTAAAGAGATGAGATAGTTCCTGTTTCAGAGGGGAGATACTGCCTCAATTTAGGGTGCTGGAAGCTGGGATGGAATGCCAGGAGATATAAAATTGTGATTTTGCCTTATTTGTACATTAATTCCTGCCTTATCGCCACCATTTTTCCTGTTAAAGACATGACTCTTGCACAGGTGAACCTATGGTATTACCATCCATCGCTTTTCTCATTGGTGAATTATTCCTTTGGTGAATTATTTAAACAAGGGTACAGGGAGAGATCTTTTGGATTTAGTGAATTCTTCCATAATTAAGGACTGCCATTTGCTCACTGGAGGGAGCTGTCTTGGATTTTTTTGTTTTTACTTGTACAGAGGAGTCATGTCTTAATGCTACTGTCTGATCCCATTCTGGTATTTTTGGTGCCATGGGCATCTGTGATCCTTCAGCCATCAATATTTAAGCTAATTACCTTAATCTGCCCTGAGAAAGTAATCTTTGGGGGTGTCACTAATCAGTGGAGGAGGTCAGCAGCTGGGATTCAGCCTGATTTCATCTTTGGTATGATTAACCAAAGCAGTGTTAGCAAACTCCCCAAATTTAGGAACTTATAACTAACTTCAGGAACATTCAAGTAACTAACATGATCACTATGACCTTTCTGGGCAGTAGGACAAGGTGTATAGTCAGTATTCTACATCACTCCTGTCAGGCAAACAACCTAGATCTGAATTTCCTTCATCATTCTTGCACTAAAGCTAAAACTCCTCAATATTTACAAACAAAGGTTATCTTGTTTGATGAGACTTCTTTCTCTTGCAAAACTTTTTCTTGTCCTCTGTATTGATGTGGTTTAACTTCTGACTGTGGACTTAGTCTGCAAATTCTGCTACAGCTACTTGTGAGGGTCTGAAGGTCTCTTTTTGCTGTTTATGATAAGTAGTTGTATCTTCCATCTTTGAAACATTTTAAAATTTTGATTGAAATAGTGGAGAAGTAGGAAAATAACTGTTTTCATTTAATGTAAACTGCGTTCTGTTTTTTAGTAAGCCATGTTGTGCAGACTTGTCTTTATTTTATTGCCAAAGCATTAAAGTAAAAATTTATTCAGTTGGTGTAGATATGGAAAACTCTTGTTTTATTGTCACTCCTTTGAATACCAGTTGCCATATTTATTGACTAATTTGCATAATTTACAGAAAAATTGTTCACATTCACATGAGAAATTAAATACGTTAATGGGAAAGGGCCTCAGTTGAACAGTCTCCTCCCGCCATTATATCTACAGAGGCCATCATGCAAATTATAACAAAAATTTTCTCTTAACTGGAGAGAGGACTTACTTCTCAAATTCATGGAAGTGGATCGGATTTAAAGTTTCTCCTCTTTACATGCTTTTTTATTTTCATCCTGCTTTGGATTTTCTAATGTTTCAGTGGACATGCTCAATTTTCAGCTTACACTGTAATTTGCATAGATGAACCAATAATTATCATAGAGTTGAAACTGAGAGGCACTTATCAGATAGCTTGCTTAGTGAAGAAGAGACGGCTGTACAGTCCTAGAGAGCCTCACAACTTGCTTACATTTGTTTTTTCATCACAGAATGTGTGAAGTTTCATACCAATATTTACTTAGAAAAAAATGATGGCAGTTCTCCATTACTGCAGCTTACTAAGATTTTAACAACTAACTTAATCAATTTATTTTCTGTAACATTTAAATTAGAAGCTCATTGCAGGAATGATTCTTTGCTAACAACTTTGAGACAGATCTGTAGGGTCAGTATTTGTGTGTGTAAAATCTTGCATGAGTTGCAGTGTTTTAACCAATGGCAGAAATCTTTTAACTTAGGGATCTTTGACTAATTTATGTGATCATGTAAACTAAAAATCTCCACAAGGGAATAATTCCACAAGGGAAATAAATGTAGTCTGTGTGGTTTTGTTCTGAAGATGCATCCTAGGAAGCTGCTCAAGAAGAACTCTAATAAACTTCCCCCACTCCCCACCCCAGCTTTTATGTGGACTCTAGGATAGGCTGTGTATGTGCATTTGAACTTGTGCCAGGAGGCTTCTTTAGAATGGTGAAAGTGCTTTTAAACTTGCACCTCTCCCCCACAGGTCTGTGAGAAAGATCCTGCCTCCCAGAGTGCAGCAGAATTCT